CTTAGGGAAACAAAATATTCCCAAACTCTTACAAAAAGACAAGGAAATGTTTTGACAATCGCCGGGCATGATGCTACGATAGTTGGCTCCGGTCGTGCCACTATCGTACTCCCTATGGGTACCCAAATTACAATCGAGGATGCATTATTGTATCCCGATTCAAAGTGTACCTTATTAAGTTATAGAGATATCCGCCAAAATGGTTTTCATATAGAAACCCGTGATGACAATAATGAGGAAATTCTCCTTGTTACTAAAAAAAAGTGGATATGGCAAACGAATTGTTGAGAAAATTCCCCCTTTTCCGTCTGGATTGTACTACACATACATCAAACCTGTACCACATGTTGCGTACAAAGTAATTTTTGAGAATGTTGACGCATTCAAAACTTGGCACGGACACCTTGGCCATCCTGGTATAGGGATAATGCGAAAAATTATCAGCAATTCTAATAGTCATGAGTTAAATAGTGCTAAATTCCCAAAATCTTCTGATTTTATGTGCACTTCATGTGCTACAGGGAAATTGATTTTACGTCCCTCGCACGTTAAAATCCAAAATGAGCCACTAAAATTTCTTGAATGCATTTAAGGAGATATATGTGGCCCCATACAACCAACGTCTGGACCATTCAGGTACTTCATGGTTCTAATAGATGCATCTACTAGATGGTCCCATGTGTGTCTTTTGTCCACACGTAACCATGCATTTGCAAAAATTATTGCTCAAGTTATTAAACTTAGAGCACATAATCCTGAACATCAAATTCAATCAATTCGAATGGACAATGTTGCTGAAGTTTCCTCAAAGGCTTTCAACGATTATTGTATGGCTTTAAGAATTCAAGTTTAGCACTATGTCCCATTTGTCCATACACAAAATGGTTTAGCAGAATCTCTTATTAAGAGAATTAAACTCATTGCAAGACTGTTATTATAAAATTGCAACCTACCAACTTCATGTTGGGGTCATGCAGTCTTACACGCTGCTGACTTAATTCAATTGCGACCAACTGCATATCATGTTGTCTCCCCATTGCAATTAGTACGTGGGAATATGCCAAATATTTACTATCTGTGAAAATTCGGTTGCGATGTATACGTACCGATCTCACTGCCTAAGTGTACCTCTATGGGTCCACATAGGAAACTTGGTATCTATGCCATCGATTATCAAATACCTCGAGCCTCTTACAGGGGACTTATTTATGGCCCGGTATGTTGACTGCATATTTAATGAGGACCATTTCCCAGCATTAGGGGGAGATTTCAAGTACCAAAACGAATGCCAGGAAATCAACTCAAATGCCCAAGGCATTTCTTCCTCAGATCCACGTACTCAAGAGACTGAACAACAAGTTCAGACAATCATAAACTTGCAACATATTGCAAATAACCTGCCAAAAGCATTTACTGATTATAAGGGTGTCACTAAATCCTCTTATCCTGCTCGTAATGTGCTCGAAAGAATGGAGGTACCAATAAAAACCATTCAATCCCCGCTTCTAAAGAAGAGGGGAGAAGTACGGCCACTCCTAAGGATAATGCTCTAAGTAAGCGTCCGAGGATATCGAGGACTAAATCCTCCAAATCAGTAAATCCAAGTCAACCTCAAGTTGATACACATCCAATAGTGGATAGAAATCCAAAACTAGGACCAAATCCACAACCCGGATCAATGGTGCATCCAAATTTTGATCCTAGGACATCGAAACACCCTGACTCCATAGTTTTGGCAAATGATGAGTCACTAAATGGGGTGAAAGAAATTTTCATCAATTACATCGATTCTAGAGAATCATACGATCGTAAGAAATTTTCATCAATTACATCGATTCTAGAGAATTACATCAATTGCAGAAATCTTCCTCAATGATCCAGATCCCAAGACCATGGCAGAGTGCAAAAAGCTCTCGGACTGGGCTCAATGGAAAGAAGCAATTCAAGCTAAGATAGCCTCGCTCACTAAAAGAGGGGTATTCACATCTGCAATACACCTTCTAAAGTCTTTCCTTAAATGGGTTTTTGTTCGGAAATGGAATGAGAACAATGAGGTGGTGAGATATAAAGGTAGGCTAGTGGCACAAGGGTTCATGCAGAGACCCGTCATTGATTACAATGAAACATATTCTTTGGTAATGAGTGGAATTACTTTCCGATACTTAATATCATTGGTAGTTCAAAATCATCTATCTATGTAGTTGATGGATGTGGTGATAGCATATCTATATGGGTCACTTGATTCGGACATATACAAGAAGGTTCCCGATGGGATCCAAATTTTGAATCCAAACGCAAATCGCAACATGTATTGTGTAAAACTACAAAAGTCATTATATGGCTTGAAATAGTCAGGACGAATGTGGTACAACCGACTGAGTGAATTCCTTCTAAAGAAAGGATACACTAATAATGATTATTGCCCGTGTGTTTTCATTAAAAAATCTCCAACGGGATTTTACATTATATCCGTATATGTGGATGATTTAAATATCATTGGTAGTCCAAAGGATATAAAAGAAGCACGTAATCATCTTAAGACGGAATTCGAGATGAAGGATTTGGGTAAAACCAAATATTGCATAGGCTTACAACTTGAGCACCGTCCTTCAGGGATTTTAGTGCATCAATCAGCCTATATCCAGAAAATATTGGAGAAATTCAATATGAATAAATCATACCCTAATAAAACCCCGATGGTTGTCCATTCTTTAGAAATAGGGAAAGATCTATTTAGTCCATGGGATATTGGGGAAAAGATGTTGGGACCAGAAATCCCATATCTCAGTGTCATTGGCGCACTTATGTATCTTGTAAATTGCACCAGACCTGATATCGCAATTGCAATGAACTTACTAGTTAGGCATAGTGCGGACCCAACTCGCCATCATTGGATGGGAGCGAAGTGTATCCTCAGATACCTTAATGGCACAAAGGATATTGGTTTATTCTTCAAAAAAATCATGACCCCAGTATGATTGGTTATACTGATGCTGGTTATTTATCTGATCCTCATAACGGTAAATCCCAAACAGGATTTGTATTTCTACATGAAGGTACAACTATTTCATGGAAGTCTTCTAAGCAGACTCTGACAGCGACCTCCACTAATCATTCTAAAATTATTGCTCTATACGACGAGAATGTTTATGGCTTCACAGAATGATTAACCACATACAACAGTCATATGGTATTGGTTCAATTGAATCACCTACAATTATCTATGAAGATAATTCCGCTTGTGTTATACAGATACAAACATGTTACATAAAGAGCAATATCACTAAGCACATTGCTCCTAAGATGTTTTATCCCCATGAATTACAAGAAAAGTGGGAAAATAAACATCTTGCAAATCAAGTCATGTGATAATCGCGTTGACCTATTTACTAAGTCCTTACCAACTTCTGTGTTTCAAAAATTGGTACATGGAATTGGTATGCGGCGACTTCGAGATGTGCCAGAATTAGGGGGAGACATCTCCTAAATGTTGGCATGTACCAGCATCATATTATACTCTTTTCTTTCACAAGTTTTACTCACAAGGTTTCTTGTTAAAGTTTTTAATGAGGTAATATTAACATAAGCATGTGTCATATTTTCTATTTTTCCCACCGGGGTTTTTGTGGGAAATATCAAAGACACATATTGTCCTCACAACTCATCCATGGTTTTTCCCTGAAAAGGTTTTTCATGTGAGTTATCCAAGAGGCAATACCAATAATATGTCGTCATATTTTCTCCTAATTTTCCCACTGGGTTTTTACAAGAGTTTTAGCAGCATATCACTCTATATTGCTCCTCACATTTTTCCTAAATGATTTTTGGGGGAGTTATCCTTATGTCGTATCTCTAATATTTTTTTCCCACTGTGGTTTTTAATAGGATACCAATGACAGTGATTTATGCAAATCACACGCATATATGTCGTTTTCTCCTTATTTTCTGAATAAGGTTTAAAGGAGTTTTTATGGCATATCTATACATACATATTCCTCAGATTTTTTCCATAGGGTTTTTCAAGAAATCCAAGCTTACAGCTACATTGATCTCAAGGAAGATTCGATAAAAGGGGGAGTGTTATGAAACGGTGCCTGCCAGCATACACCTATTCATCAGTGATCTCATCCAATTAGACGTGCAGTTAGAGATAGGATTAAAGATTAGATTTGCAGTTAACGGTGTCACCGAATGGGCATGTCTCTTGGTGACGAGATGTAACTTCTCCCGTCAGTTGTCCTTTGGACACACCCCTTCACTTATATATTGTATGAGATCAATGAAACAGTTGTCCACCAAAATGACTGTTCATTACATTCACTTTTCATCAAGGCATACATGAACCACGTCCAATGAGAGAGGAGGCCTTGCTGTAGTGACCCTAGGGACGCCGCCTCTCTAACACTCAAAGCACATGGCCCAAACACTCCACCTCCACCTCCACCTCCACCTCCAGCTAGAGCTCAACAGCAGATCTGTCGGGCAAGAGGCGGCGTCGTAAAGGAGTCCAAATTAGTTTTTTAAGGGGGTTTAGGATTTCTGTGGAATCCCTCAAGACGTCTTAACCAGGATTTAAAACCGTTAAAAATGGGCAACAGTTCAAAGCACGGAGGGATAAGTAACAGTAATTTAACAACAGCAGCGATTTTGAACAGTTGAATTCACTTGATAAAGCTGGTACATTTGCAGACCGGTGATACAATCCAGTGGAAACCGCTTAGATCATTAATGAGGTATAGAACTACAATAGCAAAAAAGGTCTTGAGATTTGAAAAGAACAGGAACCGCAGAAACAAGCATTCGGTACTAATTTTCAATCTGACAGCAAATCATGAAGTCAACGAAACTGGCAGTCACATCAACAGGACAACCCAAATTGACGTTCTGTACAACCAGACCTGCGATTAATTTCATCATGCTCGTTTGTAAGGAACACGTGGCCTCCAATGCAATGGAGGCACAAACCAAAACATATCGTACCATTTTTTACAAAACAATACTTATGTAAGGTCGTCCTCATCGTCCTCCTTTTTCTTCAGCTCATTCTTCGCCCTGAGCAGCAGGGTGGTTTTCCAAGGATCCTGACACAATATATGACAGATTTGAGGGGAGAAAACAGAAAAGGACCACATAAAATACTACATATTGTGTCCATTAATCCCTTTTGGAGCAGTTTCTAAGTTTATGACGTTATCTCAGAGAATGCATTGCGGCAATCATGTTGCAGAAGAACCTCATGATTTAGCATGTTATAAAAGGTTGAGAATCCTAAAGAGTAACTATTGCCCTTAAAACTCTTTTATGTTGAGGTAGGTTGACGTCCAATGCAGAATAAAACACTGGCATCCTGCACTGTGAGGTTGGTGACTGGAGAAACAGTAGAATACCATGTGCCATAGACATTGCATGTTTGCTGATATTTTTCCAGCCAAATCTACATTTCCTTTATCAGGTTAATTGTATACTGCCTCCAGTCATAAAAATACATTTTTTTAAGACAAAAGATTTATTCAAACCTTAAAAACTACAAATATCAACAAGTTTTACATGTCTACAAAGGTAAAAGTTGTTGATGTTTGTAGTTTTTAAGGTTTGAATAAATCTTTTGTCTTTAAGAATATACTTGCAAAATTTATTCAAATATATTTGCAAAATCAGACTCGAAGGATTTTAAGAATATATTCAAGAAGAAATTACAAATTAGTAATCGTAGATATACAATGACCGTGCAAATTAAAACGCAACAAGTAGTTTGACCTGAGGAAGTATTTATTTTGTTCTTATTAAGCTAATTCCCATCCATTTTACTGTTTATATACACTTAGAAAGCATTTAAGTTACAAATAAACAGGTTAGCCACCAAAGACTTGAAACTTCAAAATAAAACATGGGACTGCAACTGAACATACCAGACGTGTCATGCTATCAAATTCTTTGATGGCATCAGTGAATTTGGCAACATCCCCTTCATCCATAGATGCAGCAAGATCCTGAAATAAAAATAGCTTATGATTGGATGATTTATTTTAAAATTATATTTCATTATTGGTACTAGAGATAATGTTATATTCAAGTCAGGCATACAATGAAAAAGTGTCAAGGAAAAAAGGGCAAATAATTATTCATACAGCTAAAAGCTTGTATTCACGTGTCCCAGAGAAAGTCGGGTCAATTTCCTGCAAAATAGTAACAAAACATCTTTATAAAGATAACAAGGCACACATTAACTGGTTAGGGTCTTATGACAGAATAATACACACCTGGTATCGCTCCAATGAATTTATGATGGCAACAGGATCACCTCTACATAGTTGGCAGATGCCAGCATTAAGGAGAATTCCTCTGACACTATACTTAAGAAGATTATTGTTGATTGACTGACGAGCAATCGCTTCAAATATCTCAGTTGCTTTTGGGTACCTAAAAAAGTATTAAAATTTGCATAAGAAATACCACTAGAGATTGTAACCCTGAAACTACTATAATGAAGTATGCATGAAAAACAAAAACAAAGATGATGGAAACAACCAGATAGCTGCCATGCTACCACCTTGAACAAAGACAAAAACATGTTTGTTGGTGTAAGTATGACAATTTGAACAGAAAATAGAGAAATAGAGAAGAACAAAAACAAAGAAAACTAATCAAAACATGATAATAGGCAGATCAATAAGCCTCATAACTTCTAGAGCATATATAGCCAGTGCTGATTTGCAGGCTGCCACAATCCACTAGCAACCAGATTTGCTTCAGGATTTGTGATTTTACATTAAAAAAATTTGAGGCAAAGTATGTCATCCATGAAAAAACAGAATTTAAAGGCAAATGAATTCCACCTTCAAAATTGCTGAGATAATGTTAAAAGGAATTCTGTAGCTCAGATGTAAGAACACATTATATTGCTAGTTTGTTACCCACAATCTGAATCAAATCTACCATTACCCTTATTCCTATACTGCATTTTCTCCTCCGATGCAGCCACGTCATCGCCTTTTCCTGTCCCTACGATTTAGCGTAAACGACCAGCAACTCGCCAGCTCCACGGAGCCTTCTAGAATGTCCTGGGCAACCCAACCGCCACAGTCCGCCCCAGGCGCCGCGGTGCGCTTCCGCCTCCGCTGCTGCCGCCTCCACTTCTCCTACCTCCCTCCCTCGTGCCTCCCTTGGCCTCCAGCGCACCCTCTGCGTCTACCTCGCACCGCACTTGTCCCGCCCTCGGTTGCCTCCCGCATGGCCGCACTACCTCTGCTCGGCGTCGTGCCTGGCCGCTCCCGGCATGGCCGACCGTCCGGCGTTGGCCGCTCCGCCCCATGACGATGTGCCTGCGAGATGGCGTCGCGGAGCGCAAGCTAGGCCGACAGAGGGGACCCTGGCGCTGCGGGTTTTGGAACGATAGCCGCGAGGTTCGTCGAAGCTCGGCCGCGATGTTTTTTCCCCCTGCACTCCTCCCCCCCTGTGGCATGGGCTTCGGCTCCGTTGAACGGCTCCACAACGACGGTCCAAGGTACCGAAGATGGAGTGGGGGAGGATGCCGCTGGCCCGGCTTGGGTCATGGCCTGCGCGACGGCCGCAGCCGTGTAGTTTCAGGTGAAAAGTTCCTGGATCGAAGAAGACAGATGCTAAGTGTACAGCATATTTGCTATTTTTGGTTTGGATATAGTGCCTAGTCTCACTTCGTGTATTATAACAGATCACGAAGAAATAGAGCAAGGTTTCTACGCCCATAAATTCCTTCTTCCTCCTAATCTCCTAAGGTGAGTAGTCTCTTTTCTTCTCCATCAGCATATATGTGTTCTTTCTTCCTAATGATGGCTACAGCTAAAACTCTGCATCCTGCATTGGTTACCAGTAAAGCATATTTATTAAAGACCCAAATTAGTTTTCCGTTCCCTATTAACAGAGTATTGCCACTATATGGAAGAGATATATTTTCTAGCAACAACGCAGAGGTTTGGTCGCTTTTCCTAGCTCCTTTCCTTATTTATTTGCACGTTGTTCTGAACTAAAGCCAAGCTATGTGTGGTTTTTGTTCATATATATCTATTGACGACTAGAACAAGTACTAATTTTTGTTATTTTCCCTGCATGTTGTGCCACCTGCTACTCTTTATTATCGCTTCTTATCTGTTTGCTTTTTTTCCTTCTATTGATTCTTTGTAAGCTTTAGTTAGCTGCGCAATGTAGCAAGGGCACTTAGACATGCCACTTCAGAGGCAGCGCCTTTTGTAAGTTGTAACTTATTGTTATTCTGGTCTTCGGAGTATTCTCTACGAAGAATGAGGACAAATGCTATGGTTTATCATGTTGGAACTGCTATTGCATTGTTTCACCTTAGATGATATGTAGGCCCATATATTGCAGATACAAATTAGTTTACCTACAAATATGTAGCCGCCTGATATGTTGGTGCTGCTGTCAAGAAGAATATGCACATTTTGTTTATGATTCTATATACCATCCTTAAACAGTTTTGCTAATCGAAACAAAAAAGTTCAGCTTCGCGATATATAGTTACTTTACACAGAAGCATTCTACTTTCTTCTATTAAATTCAGGAGTTTAGGTTGGTTCTGTATGAGGAACGATGTGTAAGTTAAGCGATTTGTGGCAAACAGCTTAGCATATCTACTTTGTGTTCCTCTTACACGTTCAAGGTTTGTGGAAAGAACTTTAACATGGAATAGAGTTTCAGAATCTAAAACTTGACACTGATTTGATTTTATCATTGGTTTGCTTTGGAACCTTTCTTTCTTTTCACATTAATATGTATGATAATCTCAGGATTCCTCGCAAATTGCCAAGCACTAACTATATATGAATGCTCGATGCACATTTTGGGTTTGCATACAACAATCTTCAGCAACGAAGCTAGCTGACCTGACTATAACCCATCCACATTTAGTGCAAATAATAACAATTATGACCTATTTAGGCACGACAACAACCTACCCTGGACATTTACTTTACCATTGACAACAATCAGTAGGCAATGGCCTCCACCTTAGCTGAGATCTCCATAAATTGTTTCATTTGCTATCTTATGTCAAACCTAAAAGTTATTTTTTCCCTCTAACTGAAGTTATTTGTTTTTCTAGGCGGCAACTCCATGCCATTGGCAGTTGTTTCTGTAAATGATCTCCCTACTTCTATACTCAATGGTGAGCCTTAAGCTGTGAACTTACCTGTCTATTTTCCTGATGATGGACAGAAGACTAAGCCTTGAACAAATAGATTCATACACACACCGGTCAAAAAGTAAAACAAATGTCCCTGGAATACTAACACTGTTATACTTACTGTTCATAAACACACTGGTCAAAAAGTACAACAGGTGTTCCTGGGATACTAACGCTGTTCTACCTGTTCTTTAATTTTTCCTCTTTTTTTGCTTTTAAACTGCTACTACGTATGAATATGTACCAAAACAAAATACCATATACATGCCGTGTATGCACATATCTACCTGTTTATTGAACATCTGCATTGCTAACAATATACAAGCCTGTGATGTGCGAAAAAGACCTTTATTCTTAATTTTGGTTAGGCAATTCCATAAACATATATATAAATATTCAGCAATATTAATTGCAGCAGTATATCATCTCTACCGGTCATATGCTTTGACTGTATTTGCATTTTTGCTTATTTGTCCACAGGTTTTTTTTAAAAATCTTTTTGTTCACACCCCTCCACTACATGCTGCCTTGGCCAGCCCTGTCCTCTTCGCCCGTACCCACTCCCTCCACCAACCCCAATCTGTCTCACCCAAGACATCGTGAACTCATCCGGGATTGCAGCCGCTGCGGGAAGTCAGGAATGAACTCACGCCATCATCAGATTAGGTGTTCAACCATGTCCCATTTGTCAGGTTTTAGCTACTTGGAACTGTGCTTTCTACATTTCAACTATATGAGCTAACACGACAACAACAAAGCATCCTTTTTTTTTTTTTTTGCTTTCCAAGGATGTTGTGTATGAAAACTAGCATTTCGTTGATGTATGACCAGTGAACTGCAGGTAGCATAATGTTGTCACCATTTCACTTGTGTTTATTCTCAGAAAATTGACATTTATCATATGCCTTATTTTTCCCCCTCAGTACCTTCAGTTTCCCAGATGTTCTGCTTAGAATATATTACAGATTGGCTAAGCACAACCAACAATTGACAAACTTTTTCCCTATTTGTATTTTATGATGAACAGCTTTCACAATGTGATTAAATTCCGGAGTGCCGGTATTTACGAATTCTAACATGTTCAATGTATTCTACTGTTTTAGTTACCGAACTTATATATATGCTTTCTAGCCCGCTAGTTATTGAATATATACATATACTCCATTAAGGATAATTTTCATATTCAGGGATGCAATGGCAAAAGCAGGGAGATAGCACAGTTTTCCAAACAACATATCAAGTTGACAGATTACAGTGTTAAGAATATTTCATCAAATTAGACCGGGTGACATGTAAGTAAAGACAACGAAATTGCTGATCACCGTAAAAAAGGAGCAACTAATATGGAAATAAAAGAGAATTAATAATAGTAATACTACTAGTAGGAGGTATAATACCCAGTTCACACTCAGGTGCATGAAATTGCTGATCACATGTAAGTCAAGAACCGCACAACAAAAAAATATATATATCAATCCCTCCGATTCCAGATATAGGCTGCATTAGGATTCTAGTTGGTCAAACTTTTTAAACTTTACCCATCAATCAATTTGTAAAAAGTTACATAGATTGATAACTCATGATTAATAGATTCATCATGGAAAATATTTTCATAGTATGTATCTTTCTCTGTTTCAAAATAATATATTTTTACAAAAAAAAGTCAAACGTCAAACTGTCATGGTGGAGACCATGTCAATGCCCTAAACAACTTACATATGGGGTCAGAGTACGATATAATTACTATAAGACAAATGAAGCTAATCTTACTGTTCCAACTGAGCAGCAATTTCTGCTACTTTCTGTTTGATGGTGTTTGATTGAGACGACTGTCCCTCACTGTCAAAAAGGTCAGCTGCCCTTTCCAGGTAATCTGTAGCCTTCTCTAAATCTTGTTCTTGCTGATATATCTCACCAATGTCCTGAAAATGCATCAAATTTCCAGCAGTGTGAGTGATATATTTCTTTTTGAAGCAAATAATCCTTCCTTCTGAAGCAGGTCATCATTCAAATATACTTATAAGTTCTATTGGGAAAAAAAAGTACAAAGAAGAAGAATGCTGGATATCTTAGTTCATTAATCCAATAGCCTGAGGTAAAAACAAGATAGTAGCATATAATAACATATCTGTAAACAAAATAAAAGTTTATTCACCTTGCTGTATCTTGCAGCCATGTTCAACCTACCAATTTCCAAGAAAAGATTAACAGACTGGTTTAGAGCTTGCGCAGCTTCTGCAATTAAGGGGTTAATGTACACAAGTTAGCTACTTAGCTAAGCATGTTAACATAAGGGACTATGAATAAAATCATAAAAGACTAAAAGAGCAGAGATTACGCATGGTTAATCAAACTTATGGATGCATAAGAAACAATTTAAATCACAAGTATTCCTAACATTTGAGATGTCAATACAAATTCATGGCCTTTTTATGATTAAGATAGTAACAATTGTGCAAGAAGATTATCAATCACAGATATAGCACAAGTAGTCCTAATATGTTTGATTCTCAGCTTCACATGAATCTCAGTTTTGGATGAGGGGATGCTAGTCATATGGCCAATAAGGATCTAGAATGGATATAAATAGCAGGTCAGCAATGGCAGGAAAATAAATTTGTGGTAAGCCAGGTAAGGAGCTCAAGTTGGCTATTATGTTATGCGAATGGGCCTCTAGCTGAGTTGGTCAGGTGGCTCTAGTGACACTCCTCGGGTCTGGGTTCAACTCCACGTGGAAGCAAATTTCAGGCTGGGGTGAAAAGAAATCCCCTCATCTGTCCCATGCAAAGCACATGTCTATCGTTCGGTCCAGGTCATGGTCGTTCTCACATGGGCTATAGTGCCCCGCTTTGTATGCGTGGGGTAAGGGTTCAGGGGTTTTATCGACTTGCGTGACAATGTCTTCTTAGCAAAATGCCCAGGGATTGTTTTACCCACCCACAGGTCTGAGTTTTTTTTTGTGTAATTGTCAGTAAACAAAATGCTAAAAATTACAGATTGTTTGATGGTGTGAATTGAAAGTGTACATTTAAAGTGTATCTTATTAATGTGGGTCTGGGGGTGTTTTTTTAAGGGATCTTATCCCTTTTCTTTCATCTTAATATTAACAATATACAGCTCTACTGTGTTTTCAAGGAAAAAAAAAGACGTGTGAATCCTTCACTTAAACTTGTGTAGTTAGGTTTGAGGGACAGGGAATCTGTACAGCACGTGTCTTAGTCTTTGCTCAGCAGGTGTGGCACCTCATATTCTTGAAGGCTGAAGCTAGGTTTGAGTTCTATTTGTCCACAGACCAATCCTAATCATTTGTCATGTTGGTGGTTCCAAACCATGAAGCAAGTGCAAAAGGACAGGAAAGGGCTGAATTCTCTCATCATCCTTTGCTTGGGAAATCTGAAAACACCGAAATGATTGCGTTTTCAATGGTGCGAGCCCAGATGTTCAGATTCAGCTGGTGTAGTATGCCTACAAGAATTGCTCCTAAGGTCGTTTCATGGGGTCAGGTGATCCTTTGTTATAGGTTGCCTCAGGTCCTTTCATGGGGCCAGGTGATCCTTTGTTATAGATTGTCTCAGGTCGTCATGGGGCCAGGTGATCCTTTGTTATAGGTTGTCTCAGGTCGTTTCATCCTATCACAGGCTATTTCTTGCCAGGAATCAGGTGGAGTGGGTGTTTTGTTTGTGGGCTGAGGTTTTATGAGTTCTACCCCCTCTCCCTCTCCCTCTTCCTCTCCCTCTCTTGTTAATGAAATGATATGCAGCTCTCATGCATGTTATAGAAAAAATGCAGTCATTGAAAGAAATACGCCACATAGTTCAGACAATAGAACCAATAGATGGCTAACAACAGGAAAAAAGGCAGTCAACAACTCAACATTAAGCAAGCAGAAGGGCAGCATAATATGGTAGAATGACATTCTGTGGTTCACAGAAGACAACACTAAGAACATGCGAGTATTATATTACATGAATTATAGCAAGATAAAGAATAAAAAATCACAGACAATTAACGGTACAGTATGCATGATACTCAGAAAGTGGAGGTACCCTGAGGTGAGAACTTTTTGTAGCAATTTGCTGCCTCGACATACGCTGAGGCAGCCTCGTGCTTGCTATCTCCCTGTTCGGCAAAATGATAAGCACCATAGCATCATCTTGTTTCAACAGCATGATTTGTGAAGATGACAAACTAATAACCCAAAACATAAGCAAACCAATGAACCAACCTTCAAATGACAGTTAGCAATCTTAATGTACACTGATGCAGCTCTGCTCCCTGAACAGTAAAGTGATTTTAGTCACTGAAAATAATAAAGTCAAGGCACACTGAAATGACCCGCATCAATTTATAATCAATCTCCGAAACAAAATTTTATTCTATTCTTTCATGCAGTCCATGGATCCCATATATACTACAGCAATTCAAGCATACCAGTGCTGTCAGCCCAATCAACACTACAATGAGATGACTATAAACATAAACATCTATTATGCGCCAAGTTCTCTGTCCCAGTGAATTATGTGAATCAGCAAAAATCCTATCAAAGAAATATAATTGGATAAATACTCAGGAAAAATAAATGAAACAATCTGATCTGAACTGGAAAGAGGGAGCAGGATACACCAGGCCCGACCCTTTTCAGGCCAGGCCACCTAAACAAAGTTCAGAGATAAGGAAGCAAAAGCACAATCTGACTCATATGGAAGCAGCATCCTAAGACGAAACCTAGTGCATCAAAGATCACGCGGCTCGGCCGTAGATCCGCAACCCAAGATCCACCCCGGATCCAACCCATCCGCTAGTTTGCCAAACTAAGCAGCTAACGATCCTGACGCCCGATCGGCCGACAGATCTGGCGGCAGGGCCACCAAACGACGGGGGGGGGGCGCGGAAGAGGGGATCTGGGCAGGGCAGCCAGGAGCGCTCACAGTTCTTGGCGAGCTTGAAGGAGTTCGCAGCCTTGTCGAAGAGGTCCGCGGCGTCCTCGTACTTGGAGCTGAAGAGGCCCCAGCCCGAGAGCTTCTTCTCCGCCTTCTTCTCGAAGTCGTCACCGCGCGCCTCGTGATCACCCATCGCCTCTGCAGCTGCAGCCACCGCCGCCGCCTCGATCGGTCTCTGTTCCTCCTACTCCTCCGCGGCCGTTGCCGGCGCCCGGCGAGGAGAGAGTCGGGAGAGGAAACGGCGGAAAGCAGAAGGGTGGGATGCCTCTGTTTGCTTCGTCGTGCGGGTCTGTTGACGAGTCGGGGTCGGGGTCGGGGTCGGGTTGCGGCCGTGCGGACGGGTCCGCGGCGGATGGACACGTCCACGGTGTCTCTTTTGGCTCGGCTTCGGTTAACCTAAACCACTCGTCTCTGTACAAGCCACCAATCCGAAATACGCTTAAGATCTGTTTATTAGTTGCCTCGCTATTATCAGCCTTAGCCTGCTCCCACCCAATTAACATGAGTATATTTGATTGCCTACCTATCTATAAACTGGTTTAGCTATATTTGTGTTTGCTTGGGTGGCCAGGTCTTGGCTGCACTAGTGGAGTCAAGTATGGGTTTATTCGGTTGCTTGGTCGGAGTGGGGTGCAACTACTGTGTTCTTTGCTTTGGTAACGTTACCACCGACGCTCGTACTCGTCTATTTACACCGTGCCGCTCTCCCACTCCTTTAGTCTCACCTCTCGCTCACCACTCGTGTCCCTCTCGTCTTCCCTCTCCTCCCTCACTTACGTCGTTGTCGAGGAAGTCCGAGGGTTTTCGATGGCAGTTTCTAGCGAGGGTGGTGGTTGGTGCTGCCGTGCACGCCGGTGCGTGGGTGGTGCTCCATGCCCCTGTGTCTCCGATTCCGACAAGCCGCCGCGCTCTCCGCCAACTCGTTCCCCGTCGCCAGACCGTCAGTCCCGGAGCCCATCGGCGCAGACTGAGGAAGACGATGCCATGGACTCCTCTGACAACAGCGCAAGCCGCGAGATTGCTGACTCCCAGGTACGATTCATGTCCGCCTCGGCCCTAGGGTTTTAGCCAACTCACAAAAGATTGCGATTTGAGGGCCAAATGCCGGATTTCCCTTCCAAGATTCATAAGTTTGATGCTGTGGATCCGAAATTAGAGTTGAATTGATCGTTTATAATGAAATCGTTTGATTATTTAGTGCAATTTTAAAATTTTCCCCTTTTTTCAATGGAAGAATAGTGACACTTCAATCCTTGATGCTGTCAATGAGTTTGATTGGACCGGATGTTGTGAGTCTTCGCAAGTGCGAACATGGACGTCATGCTATCCTGAAGAAGTGTTGGGGGTGGGAAGAACACTGGCCGCCAATTCTTGGGTTGTCCCATTCAGGTTTCACCAACTACTGAACTTATTTTCAGTTTGTTCGCAACTAACACAAGTACTGCTATTTGTCTAACACTTGTCTTTGCTCGAGTAGGAAGAAATGGAAATGTGTCAGTATGTGGAGTGGCTTGATGAATCATTTCCTGATCGTGCCTAGGATAGCTTCAAGGAGGTTTGGAAGCAGCTGAAATTAGCCAAGCGTGCAGAGGCAAGGGCAATAGAAGCTCTGCACGATGCCTTCAACCTCATTGGCATTGCCATAGATGCAAGAGTAGCCCTGAAGGAGGAACTGAACCGCACTAAGAGGGTGGCACAACGCGTGTGTTCAACTTATCACAGGAAGGCTGTCGTTGCTACCATGGACAAGAGCAAGCTCATGTTCCTCATCTATTGCCTGTTGGGAATCATCATCTTTCTGCTGGTTGCCTTCTTCTTCAAGGCCAACTTTTGGATGTCATCCTGGTCTGCTACCTGTTAGTCTAGTTAGCTAGTAGTGTGTTCAAGTATGGTAGTTGGGACCTGGTAGTTGTGGTGACTCAATTAGTCTTAGCTATTAGCTTTTAGTATGGTAGTTGGAACTTGGATTAGTCTAGTTCTTTTGCTGATACAGTGTTGGCACCTGAAGTGAGATGTAATGGTGTCAAATGGTGCTGATGGAGTGTGCTACCGCTCACCTGATGAATGCCATAAGTTGGCTTGTTTTGGTTGTGCCCATCTCAATTTTTCTAAACTGATTGGTGCACCTCTTTTGTAAATGCAACTGATACTTACTAGTTTGATGCAATGATGCCTGTTGAAGTCTAATTCCCTATTTTGCAATGATACAATTATATTGTGCATGTTGTAAATGACTCATTTGTATTCTTCAAATTCTAAGAACTAAAGTTGCATTATTAGAGCACACACTACCATCAATTGAATCCAGGTACATGCTACTCAATGACTAAGCAGTTACACATTCCAGTTCAAATGATAGCAAATCTGGGTACAACAACCTAAGAAACTCAGTTCTATTCCTTGTATAGAAGGTAGGATTGAATTAGCACCACTATCACTAGAACACAGACAATGACATCCTTGATGGTAAACTGACTGACATGCCTAATCTCCCTTCCTTCGTTGCCATTAGGTTCCAGATAGCCAAGCCTCTTTGCTGATTCCATAGCTTGATATTGTGCATATGCTTCTTCATCTTCTTTTCTTGATCCATAGCTGCAGTGCAAGTTTCCTGAGAACCCAAAAATCTGGGCATGGCAATCCATCCAGGGGTTGGACACCCTTGGTACCCTCCCTTTGAACACAACATAGCACTTCATTTTTGCCACTGCATACAAATGCATACCCAAATTTAGGGATCCAGTACAAACACATAAGATAGAATCACATAATCAAGTACTAGAACACATAATCACAAAATCAGCAAAGACAGAGCAATGTCAAATACTCTCACTTACTACCAGATCATAGAATCAACTAGTGCTAGTTCACAAAGCATCATGAAACAGATAGAAATGGTAGGATCATAGAAATGTTTCAGCTACCAAGATCTACCCACAGCACACATATAAGATGTTGCATTATTACATAATTAGATAGATATCAAAATGGGCACTGCTGGTTCATAGGATGCATTGCAACACTTGTGGGTTCTTTAGGCTTGAAACATCTTGTTCAGGTAAGTCCTGCACCACAGCTCCTTATCTTCTAGGTCCATTCCCACAAACATCATAGCTGGCCCTTTGTGACCCATTAGATAATCCAGACATATCATCCTGTCAGATCTGGTGAAGTAGTGCACCCCATCAGAGCCTCATAGATCCCTAGTGCTGCTTGTGAATTGTTTCCTTCACTCACTGCAGCACCCAGTCCTCATATTGCATCTGTAACTCCAGTTAGCAGCACTGAGTCTTCCTCACTAAACAACCTCTTCCTTTTCCCACTATTCTTGTCATCAGCCTTGTTCCTATGAGATGGTCCATCTTCCTTGGGTGCTGGAGGTGCCTCACTGTCACAGTCATGGTGCCTTGGTCAGCAGCAGGTTGTCCAAGGGCTTCATTGGACCCCATTGCAAATCTACCAGTGGCCACACCACAACCAAAGATGGTCTGTATCTGCTGGTAGTTAGCAATGGGGGCATTGAGGAATTCTGCATCTTTGGCGTGATCCTGCACCAAGGGACAGAAATAGTTAGCAACCTCTTTATTTAAAAATAGTTAGCAAACAAGTATGGTTCAGTTTCAGTTAATACCTTCACACGTCCAGCATAGTGCTCAGGAGCAAGAGTGATCCTGCATAGATCTTCATCCTAGTTGGCGCCACTAAGATCCTTGAGCTTGCACACCTTCACCCACTTAGCACACCATTTGCGGAGGTGGTTGTACACTAGAGTATGTCACTGGCTGGCCGATGAAAGCTTGTAGCTCCTTTGCAACAGCATTGACATGGCTTTCCTTGAATCCCTTATCTGTTTTGGCACCTTGAGATATGAAAACTTGGTTAAGACAAATGCAGACATAATGGTTATCTAGTTGAGCCTTGGTGATGCACCATTGGGCTGTGGTGCAGGCTGGACCTCTACCACCTTTGGAACCTCTTCACCATGATTCATTAGGACCTCTTCACCAAAGATGTCAAAAGCACCCACACCAGCCATAGCTATGACAAACTCAAATAGTACATGCATAAAACAGTAGAGTACCCATTGGACATTACTAATCATACCATTTTAGAAATAGCAAATGAAGTTCAACATACAGACATAGCATAAAACATGTAAAGGTACCAAATGAAGTTCAACATACAGATATAGCAAATAAAATTCAGATTACATGGCATCATTGCCTTAGGGAATGGTCTCATCCTACATTACAGGTTTCATGCATTAGGTGCATAAGCCATACTACTGCAAGTGTCTCTATCAATTACCCCCATGCCTAGTCTTCCACATCTGTTGAGCCCAAGTGTCCCTCTTGGCAGCCCAAGCATTGTTGTCAATGACATTGTCATTTGGTCTAGCCACATTAGCAGGGTTTGCTTCCCATTCTGACTCAAGTGGAACAACATCATCGACGTGGAGGATACAACATGCTAAGACAAGCTTCACTTGTGTTTTGTATGGATGAAAGGGCTTGTTGTATAAGATCTTGAACCTATTCTTCAGAGCCCCAAAAGCCCTTTCAACTGTGACCCTCATAGAAGAATGTCTCAGATTGAACAACTCTCTTGCATTCTGTGGACGCCTAACACCATACTCCCTTAAATGGTACCCTGTGCCTCTATATGGGGGAAGAAACCCAGGCCTGACAGCATACCCAACATCTACAAGGTAGAATTTTCCTAGAAAAGAGGAAAGAGGAGTAAAATTAGAAAAGTTGGACAGATGACAAACCTAGGGGGTTATGAAACTAAACACACCATATATTACCTGGTGGTACCCTAAGGCTATCATGTCTTTGCAAAGCATCAGCAAGTATGAGGGCGTCATGAGCATAGCCTTCCCAACCAGTTAACACATAAGTGAATTTCAGATCGAAATCCACTACAACAAGCACATTTTGGGTGGTTATGTGCTTCCTGCCCATGAATGTTGCTCTGTGTTTTTAGGTACTTCAGCAAGCACATGAGTGCCATCAATGGCACCAACACAATCCTAAATACAATCGAGAAATGAATGAGGATATCCTAATAGGAATAAAGAAATATATGAAGAATAGATTCTAACCTTGAAGAATAGATTCCATTTCATGCTAT